CCAGAATTCACAATGCTCCCAACATCACGAATTTGTGACATGTGTGTTCAACAATAATTCTTAACATTCTGTACAATTTTGTGTTTAAGGTGTATATATGGGACATTCATATATTTCATTCTTCTTATATTTGTTTTGTAAACAGACATTGCTTAATTCTAAAAAAACTACACAACACTGGTCATATTGATAAACAAGGTGATTTTTAATTATGCCAATTTATGTGACCACCAAACTTGTTCACCACAAACTAATCTCTGTCACAGTTCCAACATACACAAAACATCCGTAGATTAATTAATAACAATTTAATAATTCGTTGCATCAAACAACACCTTCGAATTTATCTATTTTCACATTATCTTAAATTTTAAGAATGTTTGATGTATTTTTTCCATTAAATATATATTGAAGAAGGCTATCATTTTGAATTGCTAGTACAAATTTATTACTTGTGATAAAACACAACCATGAACATAGACTGTATAGTAGAGACTGTATGAAGACCGGAAATATTGGTGTGAAAGTTATGAATTTTGCATCCATTCGGCTTGCTTATATTTTTCTCTTAATGGAATTAATAGAAATACGAAGATGTGGTATGAGTGCCAATGAGACAACTCTCCATCCAAGTCACAATGTGTAAAAAGTAAAAAATTATTATTGTAAATAATAAGGATGTTCTTGTCCCAGGCAGAAAATCCTGGCCGTGTTAGGCGCAACTTTTTGAAGTTTTGGTCCTCGGTGCTCTTCAGCTTTGTACTTGATTTGGCTTTCAAACTTTTTTTATCTGAGCGTCACTGGTTAGTCTTGTGTGGACGAGACGCACGTCTGGCGTATTGAATTTTAAGCCTAGTACCTTCTGCTAGCTATTATTCGTGTGTTTCTTTGTCCTATATGTTCTCCCATTTATTTGTATTGTGGTCCTGTCATGTGATGTTGTCGTTTTGGTGTTGTGTTTGACGTTGCCATAAAAGCGGGAGGTTTGGCATGCCACAAAACCAGGTTCAACCCACCATTGTTTTCTTAAAATGTCCTGTACCAAGTCAGGAAATTGACCATTGTTATATTATAGTTCGTTTCTGTGTGTGTTACATTTTAATGTTGTGTTTTGTTGTGTCGTTGTTCTCCTCTTATATTTGATGCGTTTCCCTCAGTTTTAGTTTATAACCCGGATTTGTTTTTATCTCTATCGATTTATGAGTTTCGAACAGCGGTATACTACTGTTGTCTTTGTAGTATATTCTAACATTTAAAATGAAAGCAGCTTTTTCAAACAGCTAAACTATTATGAATAGCATCTCCTTATTTCTATATAGAGAATAATACATTGGAAAATCTGTATCTACCCAAAGGATCAAATGATCAAATGATCAAATGATGTGTAAAGCCAATTGATAATAGGCGAGGGTTGTTACAGCATACAATACAAATGTCAATTTGTTGTGTTTAATTTATTATATATCTAAACATTATAATCCTGAGAAAGGATATGATGGAATGCATGCAACATGTGGCGCTATTCTGGATTTACCTTCACGAGGAACGCTCGATCAAAGCCGAATATTTGAAAGGCAAGGATGTAAAAGAACCAACACAGTTGGAGAACTGGATAACCAAAAAGGACTTTTAAAATAATAGCCAAATCCATCTTAGGTCAACTTTGCCTCAGGCAGTTGAAACCTTAGTTTCTTAATAATTCATAAATCTATAAACGGACTATTTAGAGAAAAGGTTAGTTATCAATCATTTCAGTACCGAAGAACTGACTAGCTGATGATACCCTCGGAGACTGATAGTCCAATGTATAAAAAATCATCAAAGATATCAGATTTCTAATTTCATCAACAAAAGACTCATCAGTGGACGCTCGAATCAAGTTAAAAGGCCAAATAAAGTACGAAGTTGAAGTGCTTTGAGGACCAAAAATTCCGAAAGGTTTTGCTAAATACAGCTAAGGTAATCTTTTCCTGTGATAGAAAATCATTAGTATTTCGAAGAATTCTAAAGTTTTGTAAACAGTTAATTTATAAATATGACAATATCAATGATAATTCATATGATACAGGGCATTTGCTGTATGTTTCAGTAATGCATTTAGATAAGATATTCTAAACCGAAGACTTAACAGTTAAATAAATGATATAAAATGTTATCTGACGACTATTTGGCAACTATCACCGTATGCTTATATCATAGTAACACATGATTTCAGTCTTGGGCTGGTGTTTGTTACAGAACGAGTTCACAGTTGTTCCATGTGCACGAGAACGAGATAGTAAGGCTTTCGAAGAAGGGCTCTGATCTGAATTCATAACAAAATTACATATCGGACTTTATCAAATTTTAAGCCATAATAAACTACGTCTTACTAAATCGTAATATGTCTGAAAAATTGTTAAATGCACATTTTATATTGTAATTACTTATGTATAACGTGAATGGACAGAAACCAATAGATGAACTCATTTAACATGTAAAGGGTAATGGTTTAAAGTTTAACGTTGTGCAAGGTCACACTGTTTATATACAATATTACTTACATCACGATTGTGTGACACTTTCGGAAAAAAGATATTTGTAGGACTCCTCCACTGTACATAATAAGGGTCACAATACGTGACGCCAATTATTTATTTAAAATTTGCATACTTTTCATCAAAATGAACTCGAACCCTATTTATGGCATTGAAGTATGAAAACAGAACTTTAAATGCTTGATAAAGTATATGTCAATAATCTTGTAAATAAACAATTGAACATTATTTTGAATAGTTTCAATTGCGTTTGACTCATTTTGCAATTGTTTCCATTCGGTCAATTTGTATTTCAAACATTATATTCACAACATTCTTACGGCTTCGCTGAATCAATATACACAATTAGATCAAAGTATGTGTACCTCTCATTTTAATATGATGGTAGTATAGTATCTCTAGCGTCACATGCTTTTTTGCCTGCAATCACGTTAAACAGATTTTAATCAAGGGCAACAGTAGTACTGATTTTCAAATCTCATATAAAATCCATTAAGAAGATACAAATCAAGGTAAAATGAAAACTGAGGAAATCGAATGAATTTCATAAATAGAAATACAGAGTGCATTTCCAGTTATGCATGCATCGCCCGTCATGCGAATCCACACTCAGTCAAAATATCATAAATGTTGAAAATGGAAATGAATATTGATAAGAACGACAATTTATCTAAAATTATATATAAATTTTTTGAAACTTAAATATTACATTTCTGAAGTAATGTTACTGTTAAAAGTTCTTGGAGCTTTCATTATAGTTACGATCGAGAACATAGACAAATTTAAAATGATAAAATGGCTCCAAGGAAAGCGAACATTAAGTTTAAAAGCAGAAATATTGCAGTATTTTGAATTTATTTACTACTCAGCTAGACTCAGGCAAAACAAAGTATAACCCAAATACCGAACTCTAAGGTAAATCCAAAAAGGGGAAGTCAATAAAAACTGACAAAATCAAACGTTATCAACGAACAGAACATGTGAAAAACAACTGTCATATTCCTGACTTGGTACAGGCATTTTCCGAAGAAAATGATGGGTTAAACCTGGTTTTATACCTTTAGATCTTTGAAAACGATAAAAACAAAAGTCTGTTCTAAGAGATATAATGTTGTCTCTAGTGACCTTTTTGGTTAAGTATGTAAAAGAAGATGTGGTATGATTGCCAATGAGACAACTATCCACAATAGACCAAATGACACAGAAATTATCAACTATAGGTCACCGTACTGCCTTCAACAACTAGCAAAGCCCATACCGCATAGTCAGCTATGTTTGTGTTGGTTTGTTTTTCTAATCATGGTTATTCAAACAATTTCTTTAATCATAAAAAATCTCTACACAAAAATAATGTAATCCTCTTGATGGGTCATTTGTTTCTGATGATCGTATGCTTACACTCGTGAGTTGGTAACAAGGATAAATTATTAAGCAAAGTAGTTATGTGGTATTCCACTCTTAACGGAAAAAAATGTTCTAAGAAAAATCCTGAACTCCAAAGTAAATAAAAAAAAATGGGAGGTCCATGAAAACTGACAAAACCAAACGCTCGACTATGTCAACAAATCGAACGACTGGAAACAACTGTCATATTTCTGACTTGGTTCAGACATTTTCGAAGTTACTTTCGTTGGGAACAATTGTATGATGAAGAAACACGTGTCTGGTTTACTAAATTGTAATCCTGGTAAATTTTATGACTTTTTGTAAACTACATCATCATTAAAAGTGCAAGATATTCAAGGGACAGATTCCCATCAAACTATGAATGGCGTCTTAACTGTTGGCAGTATTGAGCTATATGAAATTAAAAACAAATTACAAACATAAGGCCAGACCGTACTTTCACAATTATTACCAACATCACGTTGGTGTGATTATTGTATTAAAATATGTTTCATCAGGCCAGTCCTAACGATGTAAACAAATCGGACACCATTTTTTTTAATCCCTTTTTTATTCTCTTTTATATCTGTTATGTAAACAGGTTCTTTAACAACTGACAAGACTACAGGGCAATAGCACTATAGATAATCACATAGAACATGTACAGAATATATATTTTATTTGGAACAACTGACAGACAATGTTTAGTTTTTTAGATTTGACTTTTAATTCAAAATTTTGGGGCTATATTCTGACAACAGACGGCTTTGATCTCGCTATATATTGCTTTCGGTTCACTATTTTATTTTATTTTCTAATAATGAGTTTAAAAAACCATGTTAGTGATAAGATTCTAACGGTAATGTTTTAACTGTCTTATAATATAATAGATTTTATATTGAATATTATATTTCTCAAAATGAAAACATTCAAAATATCTTTGATCTCAATTTAAAGATCTAGTTAAACAAATACCGTATCAGGTTTTTTTTTTAAACGCCCCCAGTTCAATGAAAACGTTTATTCTCTTTTAATTCTTTTGAAATAAAAAACATGAAATCGTGATTTCTTTGAATATAAGTAATACTGTGAATGAGAAATTGGCACTCGGTATAGTATAAAACTGGAGAAATTTCTCTTCTGATCACCAGGGATCAAAATGAATCTGAAGTTAGTAGTTGTCCTTCTAGGTTTCTTGTGCATTTCACAAGCCTATCCTAGGGTAAGTTTTTGTTTTATGTTAGTTGTAATTTCTTTATCAATCTGTAATACTGTAATATATTTTTGAATTTGCCTCGGAAAACACACGAAAAATGCAAAGGATAAAACGTCAAATCTAAATTGAGCCTGTAAAACATAGTTCAGGGTTAGTGGATTCAACCATATAATGGTTTTTATTTCTTTTCGAAAGGTTTTGTGCTTTTCATTTATAAATTAAAAAGAACACACTTCATCAACAACACGCAGTAAAATAGATCGTCTTATGCACAAATATGAGTGAAAGGTATATATTATATATTTTCCAATCTAATCTGGATGAGTCGGTTGAAAACTATTTTTTACAAATCAGATTTTAACGTATAAAGATTGCATCATGGGGGAAAAAATTAACATTTGGTACAACACCAATTGGAACATGAATCAAAAGTGCTTCGTAAAAAAAATAAGCTAAATTAAAATCCATACATTTTTTTAATAATTTGTCAAAATGTAGTTTATATCATGCTTTTTTCGAAAATATAATAAACAGTATGGGTCACCGGGCATTTTTTTCACGCCACAGGTTGTGCAAAATTGTCAGCTTTTGTATAGATTATGCATGGAAACCTCAACTTTGTGTGATAAAATGAAAAATAAACCATAGAATTTTATGATAAAATATGAAAAGATAGCTCTAATAATATGCTTTCCGATAAGAAAAAGAAAAAAAATGGGTCACCGGACTCGTTTTCTTGCTACATAATAAAATAGGTAAATTCATAAACATGCTATTATAAAAGGTACTTGATCTGAGTTATCTCCCCTTATGTTACAAAGTTGAAAAAAAATGAACCAAACAAAAATATTCTGGTTTATTTTTGGTAAAATATAGCCGTAAAATATGATAAAATACTTAATTTTCTATATTAAATTTGAAAAGTATTACACATGATTTACATATTACTCTCGAAATTTGCACATTTCATTAAAGATCTAGACCGATTGTTATCTGCTACTTCAAAATCCAAGATGAAGGAAGACACCACAGCTACCTTAACATATACATGTATGATTTTTTTTCTCAAGTAGGATGTTTTAAGAGAATTGTCGTTCTTTATTTTGCTATATAAATAATGTGATAATGTGAGATGCGGGATAACTGTCAATGGTGTCAATAAAACATGTCAAGTTTTAAATTCATTCGATGCAAACAGCAATACACTTAAACATACATTATAGTTATACGCTTTTTTCTACAACAAGTGTTTCTATAAGTGTGTTGTCATTCGTTAATGTTTAAAGGCGACCGTTTGCATTGTATGTACTTTGCCATATTATACCATCATTTTGATTCGGTCATTTTTATGGGAGATATGGGACTTTGATAATATTTTGGACTATCGTCCCACAATGACCCTCGTATATACAACTCCCCAGAAACCGTTTCAGAAAAAATTCTCGGACTAAGTAGGATCGTTTGACATTATATGTAGTTGACCATATTAAATTTTCATTTACATTCGAACATTTTACGGGAATTATAATACATAACTTTGACCTTATTGGACTATTGTAACATTATTACCCTTGTGAATGCCACTCCGTTGAGACCGTTTGACAGACAACTCTCATATTTAGAGTGATTTTTTGCCATCATGTGCAGTTTACTATAATAAACCGTCATGTTGATACTACCTTGTTACGGGATTTAAGGGATATTGATCACAATTTACGCATTTGCACGCAGATGGGCCCTCTGTGATTACATGTATTGGTCCTACACCGGTTTCCTTTTTTTGGAAACAAACAGAATGTTAAAATTATATATCTATAATTTTAACAAATGTTGTGAATTTTACAGAATCATCGCCGGCAAGATGGGGAATCTGCTGACGAGGATCTCGAAAAACAAATCGAGGAGGAGTTTGAAGAACTCTTGAAAGGTACTCGTTTTTTTATAATTGGATGAACCAGAAAAGTGTGTTTAATAATTTCTTACGTATATATGATCTCAGAATATTTCAACCAATGGTTCAGCATTGAATGCAATCATTTGGTTTCTGGTTTGTTCTGACATAATAATTTGAAATTTTAGCAATATATCAAAATTTGCATTGAAAATGCAAAGTAATCAAACACAAATCATACTCATAGGATCTCCTTTAATCAACAATTATGTATGGGTTTTGCTCATTGTTGAAGGCCGTACGGTAACCTAAAGTTGTAAATTTCGATGTCTGTGATCTCTTGTGGAGAGTTGTCTCATTGACAATCAGACCACATCTTTTTATTTTTAACATTACAAAGTATGTGTTATAAATTCTTGAATGTAATTTTATAATGTGTTTTAGAAGTTGTTTGTTCATGGCAGTGCCGTATATTATTTTTTTTCTCATTTTTATCAATCAGATGAAGGAAGACTGAGAAAAGGTGGAAAAGAAAATCAATCAGGAGGTGGAAGAGGCGAAGGAAGACTGGGTAACAAAGGTAAATATTAATATTTATTGAATAACTAATCCCAAAACTTAAATGTCGAAAAATACTTAACGAATGACTGAACGAAACATTAAGTCAAGAATGCGCGTAGAGCATAATTTAATTATCAGTGCTGTTCGGTGACGAGTTGAATGATTTCTTTTCAAATCAACAGCTCAGTAGTCAGTGCTTCAGTACTGACATAATTTATAGCATGATGCCTTTCTTAAATTCTGTGTTGATAAATCTACAAATAAGTAGCAAACTAAGGTTCAAATTCAAGTATTCTTTTCTGTCCCTTTTGGTCATATAGCTTTTCACGTATTCAAGTACTTATATCCCCTGTCTTTCATTTGGGTTTTGAGGTGGGGGGGGGGGGGGGGGGGGGGGTGAGCGTTCCTGAGCGTTCCTGATTAAATTATTTTAAAACATCTCTGTTTTTGATGTAAAGCATTCTAATGAAACCAACAATGTCTATTTCTACACGTGCTATCTTCCTTTTTGACGCAACTTTGCTGACAACGCATTATCAACATCTATTGTTGTATAAACTAAAATTACTGTTCACTGAGATTTCCCTTAAATTCTGAACCTGCTATGTTGAAAGTACTTTTTAGTAGAATTTTAAATATTGCATGAAACAAATCAATTGAAAAACTGGCCATGGCGTTGTAAGTTTCTCTCCGCCTCGTTTTTATAGCCAAATCTGCAGATTCGACAAAATGAGAGTAAACAGTAGAAGACAGATATATATGTCAAATGTACATTATGCAACATACACACATGACATTTCCCATTTGTCAACATAATGTATTCAAAAGTTTTAAACAGTCAGATTTAAATCGGAGGACCAAACATTCCCTTTTGTCATTTTGCCTTTAAAAAATCAGTTGTTCGGACGTTTCAGAGAAGTATTACTCAGACAAAAAGCTGAGATATTTTGTCAAGATAAATATAGATTCGTTTTTCCGAGAGTTTTTATCTATGTCATTACAGTTGATATGAAATTGAAGAATAGAAACTAAGTCTGATTCATATGGTTTTTATGAAACTTCAGTGATTTTATCTTTTTCATGTACCTTGATTTATTCTGTCTTTTAGGACCAAAAAGACCAAGCAGTACGGCAGAGCCAGATCAAAACGACAGACCAGCAAGACCAGAAACAAATGGAGAGAGACCAAAACCCTCGGATATGCCTGTAATGCCAGAGGTAAAAGTTATACCTGTACACTATGTCGAACATGTATGTAAGAGACTGCTAAAACACTTTAATTATAAAGAATTATTAAATATAATTTATGAAACTTAATTACTTTTCATGTTCGGTCTTTATTTTTGAATATATTGTCAATAAACTTATAGTTTAGGAAACAAAGCAAAATGTTAAAATAATGCATCGATTGTTCTAGCATATAAAATAATTTTTACAGAATCGTCGGCGAGCATATGAGGAATCTGTTGACGAGGATCTAGAAAAAGAAATAGAAGAGGAGCTCGAAGACTTCTTGAAAGGTACATTTTTTCCTATTATTTTGAAGCATCAGAAACGTTTGTTTAATGACTTAGTATGTATATGCTGGATTCTAGGAATAAAGTTAGAAAACCTACACCAAAAATTTAGTTTAGCCTAGCAACTATTCTTAAACGATGGAATATAACTGCATAGTGTGATTGTTCATTATAATGTCTTTATTATGGTTGTCATTTCTATTAAACCAGGCGAAGGAAGCTCTAGGAAAGGCGGCAAAGAAGAAAAATTAGGAGGCGGAAAAGACAAAGATAGTGGTAAAGGAAGAATGGGTAACAAAAGTAAATATTGATAAATACGGTGCATAACTACTTAATATGTTTTTACTTTTAATATTCACGAACAATTACCCAGATATTGGGGTAATCGTCAATGACCAATCAACCTATACAAAATATCAAAGACTTATAAAAATTGTGTTTTTAACAGGTACATTCTACACTGGTTAATGGATTTTTTGTTTCATAGATTTAACACGTAGTAGGACACTTTACATTTTCGATCTTACAAAAAGGAAAACCCACATACATAATTACGAATCTATTATACCCTAAAACATAAGAAGATCTATTCCTATGTGAAGTGTCGCTGTACTTGGTTCAAATTCTAGAGTACCATTATCCTAACGTACCATTATCCTTCACCGGTATTGTTATAAATAGAATACTTCATGGTTTTTAAAATGATGTATACGTTTCCTTTTACGTTTCTTCGATTAATTTAACACAAAAACAATAATCAGAAGAAAACTCGAATGTCATAACATTTCAGTATAACATAGAAAAATAATATTGATTGATTGATTTTTTGTTTAAAAGGTTCTAACGGGATCCTATTATTTCTCTTGTCTTTTGATTGTTTGAATAGCAATTTCTCGGAGTTTAAGTAATCCGTTGCTGACTTTCCTCATTTTAGTTTCCTTGAATAATTGCTTGAGACAATTGTATCAATTGAAAACACTAAATTACAAAATCATAAAATGTGCTTATCAATCTTAAAAATAGGAAGAAGTTTATATTTTTATTCTTTATGCTTAAAAGTCTATCTAAAAAAATATGTGTGATACATGAACAAGTCTTGCTCCATTAAACCGGTAGCGTCAACAGAAGTATTTCAAAGATATTATGCACTCCAAGCTAATGGTATTTTTTTTTCCAAATTACGATAACTTAAGTCTTATCTGTAGAAACTAAAACACACATATGTTATGACCAGCGTACATAGATGAAAACATATCTGCATCTACCTATATCTTTGTATCTATAAAAGAATTTGGTGAAAGTTTTAATAAACTTGTGGTTACGAAACCCCTGACTTAATAAATTACCAGTTATACTAAATTACATTCAGTTAATTATAAACACGACTACAAACACGGGCATAGCAAAAAAGTTGTGAAATATACACAGGTGCTAAAGGAACATATCACCGTCCAAAAGGGGAAAATTAACAATCGAGAACGAACAATCGTCTCTTTTGTCAAAACCGAGAACACAATTACAGTTATGTCTTTCGAATGAACTGACTTGACTGAATTTTCTAATAAATCATTGGAAACTTCAGTCAAGTCATGCAACACTTAACATTCTGCTTCATTCGACCCGGTCTTGAATTTGTATTTGATTGCTACTTCTCAAGAATATCTCCCGAAAAGGTCCAGATTCATTTTTTGGTCGCTTCACCAGAAGTTATTCTTGAGATGTGCAGAGGAGAGCAATAAAACACGCCCCTGTAAATAACGCAACGAAATGCGAAATGAACGCTACTCTAAACTCCGAAACATACAAATGAACCAAAATTTTTAAAAAAACTCACAGAAGAATAACAAAGACTTGAGGTTCCTGACTTGGGACAGAGGCAAAAATGAAAAAAAATAAAGCTTCGAATTATGCAATATTTTGGCGTTTTTGCTGCAATTGCATCTTTCTTCGCTTTGTTTTGATTTTCTTATCTCTTTCTCATCTATTTATCTTTTCAGTATTCAACTGATTTGTTTTGCATTTTGTAGCAATTTATGCGTTATATTCTTTATTTTAGGACCAAAAAGACCAAGCAGTACGGCAGAGCCAGATCAAAACGACAGACCAGCAAGACCAGAAACAAATGGAAAGGGACCCAAACCTTCGGATATGCCAGTAATGCCAGAGGTAAAAGTTATACATGTACACTATGTCGAACATGTATGTAAGAGACTGCTAAAAACAATTTAATTATAAAGAATTATTAAATATAATTTATGAAATATATTTACTTTTCGTGTTCGGTCTTTATTTTTGAATATATTGGCAATAAACCTGTAGTTAAGAAACAAAGCAAAATGTTAAACCAGTGCATCGATTGTTCTTATATATGAAATAAATTTTACAGAATCGTCGGCGAGCATATGAGGAATCTGTTGACGAGGATCTAGAAAAAGAAATAGAAGAGGAGATCGAAGACTTCTTGAAAGGTACATGTTTTCATTCAGAAACGTTTGTTTAATGACTTAGTATGTATATGCTCTGATTTTGTATAACGAATAGAGCATTGAAATAAATCATTTGGTTTACTGTTTTGTACTGACATAAAAGTTTCGGAATTCTAGGAATAAAGTCAGAAAACCTACACCAAAAATTTAGTTTAGCCTAACAAATATTCTTAAACGATGGAATATAACTGCATATTGTGGTTGTTCATTATAATGTCTTTATCATGGTTGTCATTTTTATCAAACCAGGTAAAGGAAGCTCTAGGAAAGGCAGCAAAGAAGATAAATTAGGAGGCGGAAAAGACAAAGATAGTGGTAAAGGAAGAATGGGTAACAAAAGTAAATATTAATAAATACGGTGCATAACTACTTAATGTGTATTTACTTTTAATATACATGAAATATTACCTAGATATTAGGGTAATCGTCAATGACCAATCAAACTATACAAAATATCAAAGACTTATAAAAATTGTGTTTTTAACAGGTACATTCTACACTGGTTAATGGATTTTTTTGTTTCATAGATTTAACACGTAGTAGGACACTTTTCATTTTCGATCTTACAAAAAGAAATTACCACATAAATAATTACGAATCTATTATACCCTAAAACATAAGAAGATCTATTCATATGTGAAGTGTCACTGTAATGGGTTCACATTCTAGAGTAGGACATAACTTACCATTATCCTTTACTGGTATTGTTATAAATAGAATACTTCATGGTTTTTAAAATGATGTATACTTTTCCTTTAACGTTTCTTCGATTAATTTACCACAAAAAACTAATCAGAGACCCGAATGTCATAACATTTCAGTATAACATAAAAAAAAATAATATTGATAATAGCAATTCCTCGGAGTTTAAGTAATCTGACTTTCCTCATTTTAGTTTCCTTAAATAATTGCGTGAGACAAATGGTATCAATTGAAAACATTAAATTACAAAATCATAAAATTTGCGTATCAATCTTAAAAATATGATGGAGTTTATATGTTTTATTCTTCATGTTTAAAAGTCTATCTAAACAATAATATGTGTGATACATGTACAAGTCTTGCTCCTTTAAACCGGTAGCGACAAAAGAAGTTTTTTAAAGATATTATACACTCCAAGCTAATGGTATTTTTTGTTTTTCCAAATAACGATTACTTAAGTTTTATCTGTAGAAACTAAAACACGCATAATTTATGACGAGCACACATAAATGAAAACATATCTGCATCTACCTATATCTTTGTATCTATGAAATAATTTGGTAAAGGTTTTAATAAATTTGTAGTAACGAAACCCCTGACTCAATAAATTACCAGTTATACTAAATTACATTCAGTTAATTTTAAACGCGACTACAAACACGGGCATATCAAACAAGTTGTGAAATATACACGGGTGCTAAAGGAACATATCACCGTCCAAAAAGGAAAAATTAACAATCGAGAACGAAAAAATCGTCTCTTTTGTAACTTTTTGCATACTTTCTAGCGTCAACTTTGCTTTTACACTTACATCAATGACAAAACCGAGAACACAATTACAGTTATGTCTTTCGAATGAACTGACTTGACTGAATTTTCCAATAAATCATTGGAAACTTCAGTTAAGTTTTACAACACTAAAAATTCTGCTACATTCGACCCCATCTTGAATTTGTATTTGATTGCTACTTCTCCAGAATATCTCTCGAAAAGGTCTAGATTCATTTTTTGGACGCTTCCCCAGAAGTTATTCTGGTGATGTGCAGAGGAGAGCAATAAAACACTCCCCTGTAAATAACGCTACGAAATGCAAAATAGACGCCACACTAAACTCCAAAACATACAATTAAGCCAAAACTAAAAAAAAAAACTCACAGAAGGATTCAAATATTTCTTTCATTGTTAAGAAGACATGAGTACTTTTTCAAGACTGATTTGTATCACCTTCCTTAAACGAAAATACATCCTATTTTTCCTTTTAGGACCAAAAAGGCCCCATGGTACAGCAGAACCGGATACGAATGGAGATAGACCAGAAAACACGGGAGAAAATGGAGGAAGACCAGAAAACCCCGATAAAAGTCAGGATAAACCAGAAATCCCAGAAGAAAATGAGGGTCAGGATCCTGAAAACAGACCTAGCGAACAATCAGTAAAACGCCGAAAAATAGCTCTTTATAGAGCTCTTGGTTCTTTATATCGAAGGCATTAAATGGTAACAAATTAAATACGCTCGATAACACTGCTTGTTTATTAAACTTCGAGAAAAAGAAATAAAACAGAAAAAAATCGTCAACAGTTGAAAAACACATTCACACTTTCAAGTAAAATATTAAATTCATTGTGAATCCAAAATAAACATGTTTTTTAATGAAAAATCACGAGTAAAATTCTTCATTTGGTAATCTCAATATTCCATCTTCTCAATGGAAAATACATTTGTATAAGTATTATTCAATTATTGCTTTTTCACATAAATCAGAGCAACAGTAGTTTACAGTGTTCAAATCTCATAACTGAAATCAGAGCATACAAATCAAGAACAAAAATCCCGAGAAAATCAAATTATCTCCAGAAGGAGTGAGATTGGATGCGTCAACTTGTTATGCATCTCCTGATTTGCATGCATCCCCCTCCATGCAAATCCACACTCAGACAAAATGTCACTATTAAAAATAAGACACAATATGTAAGGTTACACTTTTTTAAAACTTTCATTAAAATTTCTGATAGAACTGGACATCTTTTCCGTTTTAGTTTTACTATTTGGTTACTGCCTTATTGATGATTATCCAAGATACATTGTTCATATATATTGAAAACTCTTGAAAGAGAAAAGTATCCGAAATCGCATTTTGTAATAGGCTAAATACATTTTACAGTTGATACGATATTCCAGGGCTTGCGTTTCCTATCATGATTTCTTTGATTGAGGGTTGCTGCTCATAAGGAAGCTATTAAACAAAGACTTTCAAGTAAAGAAGTTGAAATCATCCCTTCAAACATTTTACGGATGCCATCACGAGCTGGTTCATCATTATGGAATATCTATTTCACAGATGACGACGGATATGTTCCAATCGTCGTAACCACATTCCCGTCCTCTTTTCCCCGAATGTGACCTACCGATTTTGACTTATCAGCGGGTTTATACTTGCATTAATTAATCTTTATTTACCAAAGTCATAACAACTATAGGCATGAACAACAACAGGGGTGCCACGTGTGGAGCAGTATCTTGTTACCTTTCCGGGGTTTAGTGTACTGTTGTTTGTCTTGTGGCCTTTTTCTATTTGGTATCTTTCGCATCTCTTTTACAGTGACATATCAAGGGCAGACCAAAGGGACAAATGGACCTAGAAGCTCATATTATAACCGAAAATTAGTTTAAATACTTTTCAGATTTTTATTACCGCCCCTTTTTTCGGTGGGCACAACAGCATATCCTTCTCAATATCCTGGATCCGTCGCTGAATACTAATTCGTTTACTAGCACTTTTGGTTTTATGTTCCTTGTTTTACTTAAATATGGAGAAATGATGCATAGATGAAGACATTTGTCCAACGTAAAACTACACTGCTGAATATATCACGGCTTTATTGCTCCCTTAGTAAGAAAACGCAACGGAAAACATGTTTATCTTAAAACATTTGTAATTTTGGTTTTCAAAGAAATAACAACATACTTGAAATTTAATTTATTGAAATATACTTAGTATGGCATATAATGCTATCAACAACATGCCGCTGATAATACATCATTTCATATAGGCCAACTGTACTATGGGGAAAAGAAGTGCGGTGATGCTGTAAAAACGCTACTTACTTTATTGTAAACCTTTGTATCCACTAAAGAGAAAAACAAGTACAACTTCTGTAAAGATAATATTACAAGGTAGCTTAACATTCCGTTTGCTATGTATGATCAATTAGATATTCGAAATCTACTCTTGATAAAGTTTCATATTTCGTTACATGTTTTCAGATACCAGACAACGGACAAGGAAACGATCACAAGATTAAAGATTCAACGACAAACAAATGACATTTCTATCTTATTTTCATTATTTGCTTCATTAAAAATATTATGTCCATAAAAGCCGTGTTGATTTAATATTTTTTTCTCGAGAAAATGTATCACTTCGCCATTTTGAGAATGCCTTCTTATTATTATAAAAGGGTCTGTTGGTATATATTAAGAGTTGTGGTATGAATGCCAATGAAACAACTATCCAACAGAGTCAAAATGACGTGGATTTGAACAACTATACTAGTATATAAAAATAAAAAGATGTGGTAAGATTGCCAATGAGACAACTCTCCACCAGAGACCAAATGACATAGTTAGCAACTATAGGTCACCGTACAGCCTTTAACATTGGGCAAAACCGATACCGTAAGGTTAGCTATAAAAGACCAAAATCAGAAGCACAAAAAAATCCAACTCACAAAGTACCGATCTATGAGTGCTCGCAGTTACTGAAAGCTTGTTCTAAGTCAATAACAACTAATACATAAATCAAGTTCTCCCAGACTAAAGTATCAATCAGTACACATCCAACGGATTTAATGTAGAGACGTCATTAACAGTTTGGGGAAAAGCATGACAGAGTACGAGTTCATATACTAGTAGTTCTTTTTGTAAAGCAATAAAACATTGAAATTTATTTTAAACAACCTTTTAAAGCAACTCACTGAAATGTGTGTTTTTGAGTGAAAGGACATCAATACAAGGAGAGAAGGATGGATTTGTGATTTTTAAAATATCCTCTTACGTGAATGTTGTAGGGGTATATGTTGGATTCCCAGTTTTGCTGTGAATTCCAAGTTCTTTAGTTAGACATTCATAATAATGAGTTTTGCATATTCCAAAACTGTTGTTAGAGGACTTGTCTCCTCGAAGAACAACATATCTGTAGACGGCAGACGATGAAGCATCCACAATCTCGCGTTTCTTGAAAGGGTTAGCTAGCCGTGTGCTCTATGTACGTTGTTGGTTTTGAATGTACATCTGAATCCATGACAGAACAGCTTTGATCCATTTAGATAAAGTGTCCAGATTTAGTTCTTCTGGCTCGCGCCTCACCAATTTTCTAGTATAACCCTCAACTGCATATATCAGTAACCTGAAGTCCTTCTTTCAGTGGATCGGCTTATGAATTGAACATTTTGGGCCTTTAACTAGCAATTCTCTTAATTGTTTATTGTTTATGATGCTGCCAAGGTGGCCAGTAATAACAACATGACCAGCGGGAACATGTGTGTACAAGACCAATCGGGAGGTCCAGAATTTACATAATTGAGAATAAAGGTATATAATATCATTTGTGGTTGAACATCACATTAGGTTGAGTAATGTTATATGAAATGACAGGTGTAGTTTTATCTTTGAAGTATTCAGGAATTGTTTTCTGCACATGATTTTGGTCGATAATATTGCTAAAATTGATAGTATCGAAACCTTTATTTGCAAATTCTTCATTAAAAAACTACGTTTTTCCTCATCTATGAAAGTAGTTGTCATCGGTTTGAATAGTCTGTGATGTACGAAGTCAGTCATCTTTGCAACCAATCTGTACAAAATATAAACGCTTGAAGAATCATTATGCACATCAAGATATCTGATAAATAATGTGAATATGTAGGACGATACAAAATTGGCCCCACATCCATTAGTATGATTAAAAAGGGACAACGGGAAAAGAGGATTATTATTATGACCGTAACTGCACAAAAAGTGATAATTTAGTTCAGTGAGGAATTTATAAACTATACAATCGGTCACCTACAGACCGTCCAAAGAGTTTCTGTTAATGTTCAGACAATTTTACTTACTGTGGATTAATTTATGATCGTGGATTGAGAGAAATTTGCATCTTCGTCGACATTTGGTTTCGTGGTTTTGACAAAGTTTGAACACTAGCCGATAGAAAATTTTTAGTTTGTTGAGATTGTTGTTTCACAACGAAATCGACAAAAACAATTACTCCACGAATATAAATGAATCCAGAGTATCTTATTCGTACTTTTAATCAAATTCCCCTAATCAGAGTGGACGTAATTGTGAATCTATTCATTCGTCAAAGGAAAATGCACTCTTCTGATCGAGGAAAGAAATATAAGCAGTCATACTACTTTACGTAATGTATCAAGCTGGTTTTAGATCATGGAAGATATGAAACTCGTACAAATATATGCAAGTTTGTTTCCAATACTTTCACTTACAAACTTTTTGAAAAACGTATTCTTAACTTATCTCATTAGAATACGAAATAGGACTGCAAGAGAAATTCAGATTTTTATAATTTTGGCTGAATTTGGCAGATTCGAAATATCGCTTTATGCAATAGTTTGGATGATATTTTTGTAGGTAGAATTATGGACAGTAAATAGAGCATAATATCTCATTTTCTTAAGTATTTATCTATTTTCATTGCCATGGTTTTAAAGGTAAATGATTAACAGATGGTATTTCTTATAACAGTAGAATGTTCTACTCGTCTGGCGTACACAATAATAAGCCTGGTATCTTTGATGATTTTTTACAACCACTGGGCCGATGCCACTGATGGTGGATATTTATCACTCGATTAAATCACCAGCCCAGTAGTGAGCACCTGACTTTTGTGTTGACATGAAATATCATTGAATATATATGTTTATTTTTTCTGTAAATTTTCTGTTTATCAAATGTTGAATTATTCGAAATAGCATGAGTTTTCTACCCCAGGTATATAATGCATTAGCCTACACATTTTGTTTGAATTTTCAGTTTTAAATACTGTTTAACTTCGTATATGAGTTGTCCTTCCAACTGTTTTGATTTGAGCGTCACAAACTATTCTTATGTAGACGAAACTGCGTCTGGCGTACAAGATTATAAGCCTGGTGGTATCTTTGGTAAGTTTTTACTAAACAAAATTACTGATACATATTCATAGCTATCGATAAGAGAGTGAATGGTTAACAAATATTTAGATATGTCTACTAAAATGTTTTAACTCCAAGGTACATTAAAAAGGGGAAGTCCATAAAACTTAACCTGACAAAAACCAAATGCACGACTATAACAACCAACGGAACGAATGGAAAACAACTGTCATATTCCTGACTTGGTTCTGGCAATGATGGGGAAAACCTGGTTTTATAGCTAGCTGAATCTCCCATTAAAGACTATAGAACAGAATTTGCTAATTTTATAATCACCAAATAATTCATTATTAGCATACATTTACTGCAAATTTCAATATGCTATAGTCACTGAACACAAGTTGCGAAGGGAAATGCCGAGGTCTGACGTGAAACGACAAACCTGTCATGTCTGCAACCAAAATGATATTGATGATGAATTTTATCAAATTATTACTTGTTAAGTTTGAAGGTCTTTGAATACTTGGAGAAATGACCTTTTTTCAAAAGTATTGCTGGACAAATATAAATTCATTTCGCAAAAATTGTGCAGGTTTATTTAAGTTACACATGTGTAAATCAGTCCTCCAGGAAGAAGATTGTGAACACAATTTCATGTTTAGATATAAATATATGAAATGGTACATATGAATGTTTTATGTAACTGTGACGTGTTTCTATAGTATAGTACAGTACAGTATATTCATTAATATATATTTAATTTTTGAATCTTTCTCCTTCCCAGCAAATTCGATAACCCAGAATGAATCTTCAATAAGGATGAATGTCAGTGAAATACGTTTGTCGACTTGAATGTCGCATACGTACTGCGTCTTACTTTTTTACTATGACGGCGCATTTTTCACGGTCAAATGAGAACATATGAGAATATTAAAGTAAAGACCAAAAAACACGAAAACATAATTGAATGGTATATTGAGTTATTTTATCTAACTTACTTAATACGATTTGAAATGAACAATTTCATGTTTACATTTCTCACGTTTGAAGTTTGTTTACTTTTTAACACATTATAGTTAATTACAATTATTTATAATTCGTTCTTACTTTATATATTTTGTTTTCGCAATTAGATTTCAAATTTTTTTAATGGTTGTTTTGAATAACATACTTATAAATGTTGCAGACTAATTAAATGAAATGGTTGAATGTACCGGTAGTTTAAACCACGCTATATTTATGTTGTGTACAAGATGTAAGTTTGTACAAATTATAATTTGTACAGGATTTTTGTACAAGTTATAAGTTTTTTGACACACACCCTTTTGCACCGGGTGATAAATGTTTATCTTCTAAAATTTATCAGCTTAATGTCCTAAATTCAAATTTATATACTTCAAGCTAACATTTAGTGCTATCCTCTTTGTCCTAAAACTCGAAATAATTAAATTCTATATTTAATTGTCTCCTTATACCAAAGTCATATCCATAAAAAGTCTTTTTGTGTTCTTATAATGTTTTTGTAGCAATGCTCAGTATTAGACTGTGTCATGTAGTCATTGAAATATGACAGAAATATGCGAAACATAAGACTGTTTGCTTTTATCATCCATTTGTGTTAAGCGGTTCATAAAACACTGATAATTTGTACAAAAATTATGTACAAATTATAATTTGTACAACATTACAATTTGTACACAACAAATACAGCAGCACAAAAAAAAATTAACACATTTTAAATTCCTGAAGTATAAGTTTTACTAAAAAAAAAACGTGCGTACATAGAAAAGAGAATCCTAGCTTTATTTTATTCAAATCTTCAAAAATGTACTTTTATTGAGTTATTGTCTTCCCGTGCTCTAATTCGTCGATAACTGTTCTGTATGCAGAGACCTTAACCATGACACCCTCGTAAGAAATTCGGCAATCACACAGTGCGAAATGAAAATCTGCGATGAAAGAAAAAAAAACAAACGTTGAAGGAAGATAGTATAAACCGATTCTAAAAGGAAAATCACAAAACACCAAATCATGTAACAGCTGTAAACATGTTTAACCTCGCTAATCTTTTTGCCTGTCAAAAGTCAGGGCTATGAAGCTCAGTTGTTGTCATATTTGCTGTAATGTTGTAGCTTAAATCAGACCGTTGATTTCTTTTTTTTTTTAATTGTTTCACATTTTATTTTACTGATGCATTTTAAAGCTTGCTTTACAATATTGGTTTTGTTG